ATACATAGCCTTTGATATCTTTATGCAAGGATGGCCACCAATACCCTTTAGAAATTAAATCATAGGGTTTACATAAACCTGGGTGGCCAGCAATTTTACTATCATGGAGGCAAAGGAGTATCTCTCTCTGGTGTTCTGGGTGAACATATAATCTACCTTCAGGAATATTCACAGAAGCTAAGTTTTGCTTAGCAATGATACGAGATACTAGAGGAGACCGTATACAAATACGAGTATGGGCAATGATACGTTGCATGGGTAATACAGAAGTTTTGTTGGTTTCAGGACATGCTAAAGGTTTGAACTGCCTAGATAAAGCATCTGCTTTAGAGTTTTTTTACCCCGGTCTATAGGTCGGAAGATAGTTAAACCAAGCCAAGAAAAGGGACCAACAAGCTTGTCTAGCTGACAAATGTTTGGTTTCTCCAATATAGGAGAGATTCTTATGGTCAGTTAGTACGGTTATAGGATGTAAGGTACCTTCTAAGAGATGACTCCATTCTTTCAAGGCCAAAATAATAGCAAGGAGTTCCCTATCTCCTATTTCATATCTCCTTTCTGTGTCTGATAGTTTTTAAGAGTAAAACCCACAAGGATGAAGAGGTTGATTATGGTCTTTACGCTGTGACAATACAGCTCCTTAACCAGTTTCAGATGCATCGACTTCTAATAGAAAGGGAAGGATAAGGTCATGGTGGACAAGTATAGGAGCAGAAGAGAAAGAGATTTTAAGTGTTTCAAAAGCCACAATAGCTTCAGGTGACCATTTTTTGGAATTAATACCTTTCTTTGTCAGATTTGTTATGGGAGTGACAATAGATGAAAAACCCTTGATGAATCGTCTATAGTAATTAGAAAAACCAATGAATCTTTGAATGGATTTTAGCCTATTAGGTATTGGCCAATTGAGAATGGAATCCAATTTTTTGGGGTCCATAGCGAATCCTTTACCAGAAATTACGTAACCAAGGAAACCAATTTCAGACTGGCCAAAAATACATTTCTCTAATTTACAATATAAACCATGTTGTAAAAGTTGAGTAAATACCTTTCTAACTTGTTTGTGATGTGTTTCTTTATCTTTAGAATATATCAAAATATCATCAAGATACACAATCACACATTCTTGTTCTTTCAACACATCATTTAAAGGTTCCTGGAAGACAGCCTGGGCATTACACAAACTGAAAGGCATTACAGTATACTCATAATACCCATATCTGGTGTTAAAAGCTGTCTTCCACTCATCATCTTTATGAATCCTTACAAGATTATAAGCTCCTCTTAAGTCTAGCTTAGTAAAGATTTTGGCACCTTTCAACCTATCAAACAATTCCGTAATAAGAGGTATTGGATAGGCATTATGTACAGTAATCCTATTCAATCCTTGGTAGTCAACGCAAGGCCTGAGATCACCCTTCTTTTTAGACAAAAAGAAAAACCATGCCCCTGATGGTAAAGATCTTCTAATAAACCCCTTTTTTGGGTTTTCCTTCATATACTCTTCTAACACCATTTTATCTTTAGCTGAGAGAGGATATACTGTGCCTCTAGGAGGCATGGTTCCAGGAAGTAGGTGAATGGCACAATTATATGACCTATGAGGTGGCAATAATTCAGCTTTACCCTTATCAAAGACTTCTTTCACCATTATATATTGTTCCGGTATCTCTGTAGACAAGGGAGACATAGTAAGAACATTAATAAGGTGAATAGGGTGTACTTTAGTATTACATCCCTTAATGCAATTGTTGCTCCAAGAAACTATATCGTCAACCTCCCAGTCAATAGAAGGATTGTGTTTCCTTAACCAAGGAAACCCCAACACCACTGGGAATGTAGGGGAAGTAATGTGTTGAAATACACAGATTTCTTTATGTAACACACCCACCATTAAAAGAACTAGTATGGACTCATGTGTAATCATCTGGAGTGGTCTACCATCTATGGCCTCAACGACCAAGAGTGTATCTCTTAACCGGGAAGGGTGAGAATTTTCTTTACTAAAAGTCTGATCTTTGAAATTCTCTGCAGCACCAGAGTCTATCAAAACCATGGTATTGACTTTATTGTTAGCCCAGGTTAGGGTGATGTTAATTAGAAGCCTTTGATTTTCATGATTCGTTATGGAGGACAAAGAATAAACATCCAAGGCCTGTCCCCCAAAAGAACTTAGGTGCAGGAGTTTTCCGGCCTGCTAGAGCAATTTAGGCGGAGATGTTCCCTTTGTCCACAATACAGTCACAGTCTCTCCCTTCGTCACTATTGTTGTTCAGCCTCACTTAATCTAGTCACACTTGTATAGTTTCAGGTAATGCAAGTGCCATGGAGTCAGGATTATTATTACTAAATACAGGAGCCATCAGAATAGGAGCTCTTCTGGACCTCAGGTGTTTTGCCTGTATCTCATTCTCTCATCGATGTTAGATATAAATGTTATCATTTCTTCTAAGTTCTCTGGAAGATCTTTAGTGGCTATTTCAACTAAAATAGCATCTGATAGACCGTTAAGGAACACATCAACGAAAGCTTTATTGTTCCAAGCAACTTCAGAAGCTAGAGATCTAAACTCAAGGGCATATTCCACCAAAGTTCTAGTTCCTTGCTTAAGCCTAAGAAGAGACCTGGTCGCATTGGTCTTCCTACCAGGTGGGTCAAATGTACACCTAAATGCTTCAACAAATGCAGCATAGTTATATACAAGTGGATTATCAGTTTCCCAGAGTGGATTGGCCCATGTCAATGATCTCTTCACCAAAAGAGTTATAATGAAACCTACTTTAGCTCTATCTGTAGGATATGAATGAAGCTGGAACTCAAATTGTATGAAGATTTGATTTAAAAAAAAACACGACAAGCTTCAGGTGCCCCACCATAACGTAAAGGAGGTTTGATATGTGACGATGCCCCAACAGTAGCTACCTCAAGTCCCACATGCTGTGGAGTAACTGAGGGTGTATGGCCTTCATCCTGTATGAAACTAGACCTGTTTATCAAGGTCTGTAAGGCAATAGCTATCTATGTGATCCATGTGATGATCCATTTCCTCAAAACGGATATCGTACAGACCTGCCTGGGTACTTACACCTGCCGGATCCATATGGCCCTGTTGTAATGTCAGGAATAACAGGGGATCCCTACACGCAGAATGGCTGGAGTGTTACAGAATGGAAACGTTAAACGGAACTTAGAATGGCTGGACTAACATCACAAGAACAGAGAGTAATGATTAATGAGCCGAGGTCAGGGATGCCATAAATCAGGAACAGCGAGTGTACAAGAGCCAAGGTCAAAGGAATACAGAAGGTAGAATCGTCAAACAAAGCCAAAAGTCAAAATCCGAGATAACCATACAACAAAACACACCACTGGGACTAAGAAGAACCATAACAGGGCAATGAGTCTTTCTCTGAGCTTCCCTTAAGTACTATGTTCCTTGATCTGTAGTCACACCCCCAAAACGTTCGAATTTGAACGCTTTTGGTGGGCCGTGACATCATTAGCACCATGACGTCGGTGCTCATCCTAAAAGGGGGCGGAGCTACCGCAGTTGGCGTGAAAATCTCTGGGAACGTGAGGAGAATCATTTGACATGTCCGCAATCCCTTGCCAGATGATGCCAACTTGTGGCACAGCCTGTGCTACCACACCAGGTACCCTGACAGAAACATCCTAATGTTTTTCTGTGAGTATTGACCAGGGATAACATTTTGGAGGCAATGTTTTGTTCTAAGCAAACACCAGGTATTAGTCAATATGTGGGGCTCCCCTATGTCAGCAGGGGCCATACTTGGTGGCCCCATCTTGACAGATAAGCTGTATGCCAGTGCTCAAAGTAAGCGCTACATACAGCCCTTTAAATCTATTTAAATTCCCCTGGCTGAGCAATCGTCCTCTACAGTGGTGATTTTGAGCCTGTCTCAGTTTAGGGAGACCCCCAGGACATAAAAAGAACCAGACAGATTTTACCTGCATGCCCCTCTGTTAATTGTGACCACTGGCTCCCAGCTTCGATAACTTAATGATCAACAGGGACAGTGTGAGTGGGAGATCTTCCTGTTATGCTGAAAAATGACAGTAAATAACAATCACAGACCATGGTCACAGACTGTTTTAGTGGGGAAACATCTGCTGATTTCAACAGAGGAATTTCTTCTGAGTTGGGGACACAGTAAAGGGTAGGGTTAATGTTAGTGTTAGCTTTAGCGTAGAGTTAGTGTTAGTGTACAGTTATGGGTAATGCTGGAGTAGGATTTATGCTCTTTTAGGATTAGAGGTAATGTACGATTAGGGTTAGAGGTAATTTTAAGGTAGGTGTGTGGTTAGCGTTAGTGTAAGCATTGGGTTAGGGGCAGGGTTGGTGTACGGTTAGTGGGATTGTTATAAGGTTAACATTAATCACCAAAAATTACTTTAGATCATTGACATGTGAGGCATTTTACAATAATTACGGATATGTGAATCTATTTTGAGTTAATTTTCTTTAATGCATTTGATGTGTAAGTATTATAAGCAAAATATTTTATGTAAAAGTGGTGTTTTTTCACTTTTTGTCCCATTTTAACATTTTATTCATACAAAATGTTGTATATTAGATATACATACAGGTTATTAAAATAAAACACTTTCTGTCCTTTAAAAAAACAATACATAATATGTAGCAATGCACTTATAGAGACATTATTGAATTACAATAGAACAAATAAATTATAGGTTCAGAAGTTGGATAATTGACTCTGTTCTTAAGGGGTTATACATTAAATAGTGAATTGTGGTATATATACAGCTGATTTGCAAAAGTAAAATAATGAATCAAGTGATAAACTCTCAAACTAACTTGTGTTTCAAATTTAGCAAAAAGTTTATAAAATATTTAAAATAATAAAAAAAAATGGCTTTGCTACTTGTTCTGCATACTTGCCCTCCAAGATCGTGCTAACCTATCATGAGTATTACATAAAAACTGAAATATCATGACATACTCATAGGACACAGGTCATATCAAACTCTCTCTTCAAATAAATCAACAGCAACATTTCCCATGAGAAGCCCCAGGTTATGGAAAATCCATACACAGTAGCTGAATTGTCAACAGCAATCAAGACATCTAAGATTGACTTTGATAACAATACTCTGTAATATAAAAACAAAGTGTAGACTCCTTATAGGATAGCCATTTTTCTTAAGGCAATTTGGTACAGATGCAGACTTTGGCAGTGAACAATAAAGTTAAAAAGGCAGGGATCCAGAGCAATGTGAGAGTTAGAGTTTGAGCTTTCTAATTTGTGACCAGAAATTACAAAGTTACATAGTTACATAGCTGGAAAGAGACTTGCGTCCATAAGTTCAGCCTTTCTCACATATATATTTGCTGTTAATCCAAAAGAAGGCAAAAAACCCAGTCTGAAACACTTTTTTTTTTGCAACAAACTAGGAAAAACTTCCTTCTTGACCCCAAAATGATAGTCAGATATCTCCTTGGATCAAGTAGCTATTAACCCGCTTATTAGAAATTATATACATGTTAAGTTTTTGGAAGTATTTATCCAATTGCAGTTTAAACATCTGTATGGACTCTGATAAAACCACCTCTTCAGGCAGAGAGTTCCATATCTTTATTGCTCTTACTGTAAAAAAAACTTTTCTTTGCCTTAGATGAAATCTCCTTTCTTCCAGCCTAATTGTGTGACCTTGTGTCCTATGTATAGCCCTGTTTATTAACAGATTTCCAGATAATGGTTTTTACTTGCCCTGAATATATTTGTGTAGTGTTATCAAATCCCCTCTGAGGTGCCGTTTTTCCAAACTAAAGAGATTTCAATTTTTTAACCTTTCTTTGTGACTAAAATGCTCCATTCCTTTTATCAATTTTGTAGCTTGTCTCTGCACTTTTTCTAGTGCCATGATATCCTTCATTAGAACAGGTGCCCAAAACTGCACTGCATATTCAAGGTGTGGTCTTACCAGCGATTTATAAAGAGGCAAAATTATATTTTCATTCAGAGAATTTATGCCCCTATTTATACTTGACAAAACCTCACTGGCCTTCGCAACTGCAGATTGACATTGCATATTGTTGCCTAATTTGTTGTCTATAACAATTCCCAAATTCTTCTCGTGTGTGGTTATCCCTAATTCACTACCATTTAGGGTGTAAGTTGCTTGTGCATTCTTCACCCCGAAGTGCATAACTTTGTTTTTTTTCTGAATTAAATTTCATCTGCCATTTTAATGCCCAGTCCCCCAATCTATCTAAATCCCTCTGCAGCAAAGCAATATCCTGCTCACCTTTCTATTACTTTACAAAGGTTTGTGTCATCTGCAAACATTGAAACATGGCTTACAATGCTTATTTCAAGATCATTTATAAATATGTTAAATAGAAGCGGTCCCAAAACAGAACCCTGAGGGACACCACTTACCACTTTTGTCCAGCCTGAAAATTTACCATTAATGACAACTCGTTGTACCCTATTCTTAAGCCAATGTTCTACCCAAGAACAAGAATATTCATCTAGACCAATTTCTTTTAGTTTGAAGACTAACCTATTGTGAGGAACTGTATCAAATGCCTTGGCAAAATCCAAGTAAATTACACCCACTGCAACACCCTGATATATACTTCTACTTACTTCTTCATAGAATGCAATTAGGTTAGTTTGATATGACCTATGTTTCATAAAACCATGCTGATTATTGCTAAAAAACAAAGTTCTTCCCAATGAATTCCTGAATATTATCCATTAATAGCCCTTCAAATATTTTCCCATTCACAGAAGTTAAGTTCACAGGTCTATAATTTCAAGGCAAGGATTTTGAACCTTTTTTAAATATAGGAACAATGTCTGCCATCCTCCGGTACAATACCCGAAACAAAAGAATCTTGAAAGATTAAATACAGAGGTTCACTTATTTCCCCACTTAGCTCCTTAAGTACTCATGGGTGAATACCGTCAGGCTCCATAGCTTTATTTACATTAATTTTCTTTAACTGCTGTAGCACCTTGTCTCGAGTCATCCAATCACAAGTTATCTGCAAGTTTTTTGCAGCAATCATTTGCATATCTCTTGCCATAGGATCCTCATTAACATATACTGAAGAAAAATAGTTCTTAAATTTTTTTGCCTTTTCCTGGTCTAACCAGACTAAGAGACCCATCTCTGTTTCTAGTATACCTACACTTTCATTTTTTGTTTTTTTAGAATTGATGTACTTGAAAAAAAAAATTGGGGTTGGTTTTCTTCTTTGGCTATCAATTTCTCATTTTCTAGTTTAGCCACTTTAATTGTCTTTTTGGAAGTATTATTGGCTTCCTTACATCTTATATAAGATGCCTCTGATTTGTCCAGTTTAAATGCTTTAAATGCCCTTTTCTTATTTTTAATCTCTTGTTCTACTTCTCTACTAAGCCACATTGGTTTTAATTTGTTTCTTTTCATTTTATTACCCAATGGTACATACTGATAAATGTACCTTTCTAATATTTGTTTGAATAGTTTCCATTTATCCTCAGTGGTTTTTTCACTAAGGAGTTTATGCCAGTCGATATGTTGTAGAGCTGTCCTAATCTTATTGAAATTGGCTTTTTTTAAATTATAAGTTTTAGTATACCCTACGTGCTTTTGCTTTTTTCAGTTTATTTTTACATTATTCATAACAATGTAAATGTTGTTCCAATGATGACACACATACCCCATTTGTCCCGTCCCCTTTTTCATCCCTGATCCTTAGTACTCCAAATTTATAACTATTTGAATAAACTTTTATATTAACATTTATTTCAATATTGGCTTTCCCTTCCCAACCACTGATGTCCTGATCCACCAGCATACCTCCCAACAGTCTGGAAACTTGTGGATCCATTTCAATGTCCTGCTGTCCTGAGTTGGTTCCATGGTGTCCTACATGTGGGAACATCAGGCAACTGTCCTCAGCAATTGTACTTAATAGTGTTCTTCAGTAATGCTCTGTTCATGGTCTGCCTTGAGCTAAGGAGGCTGTTAACCACAGATGGATTCATGCTAGGCTAACACAAACCATCTTTGGTTGGCCTAGTCCACTTTCTAGGTGGGTCTGCGGCATTATCAAAGATGCAAGTGATATCAACAGACCCGCCCAAACTATCCTAAATTTAAAACCTTCCTGTTGGGAGTTATGTAGCTAGTCAAATGAATCTCACTTACTTTCCACATGAACTACTTAAGTTGAAATTTTCTTTCTTTTTTTCTAATGGTGGTTTTTCTGACATCTTATAAATTAACAAAATTAACACCATATAGTTTATAAAGGATGTTCTTAGATAAGTTGCTTAGCAATAGTGTCCAGGGCCAGAAAACAGATATCCTGTTTGGTATTTCGGTTCCCTGCATGGGCGTGTTTTGGGTTCTTTTTGTTGCTGGCCATGCGTGCTCTTTGAGTGTGAAAACTGGAACCCTTGACACATTAAACAGAACCACAACTTAACCCCAGAGACTGAGGAATTGTACCACTTGTATTTGTATTTATACTTTTGTATATATGTGTTATTTTTTGCGTTATATTATGTTATATTAACTTGTACATCTAGCTCATAGACAATGTTGCATAACAAGATGCAGCTAAACAGACAGGCACCGAATAAAAGATCCGCAGAAAATACGTATCACATGACTGTCTGTTAAATCATGCATTTCAAATGTCTATGTAATGTATGCCTTTTTTCTCCTTTATTGTGAAAACCTGAAAACCCAATAAACACAGAATGTTTAAAAATCCTAAACAAATCCTGTGTAATCGTATATAAATATGAGTGAACGTAATACTGTTACATGCTATAAAGAATGCTGTAAAGATGGTATCTTCAGTAAAGAACAAGTTTTATAAAACAAATGCAGTATGAAAATAGAAGTTCACAGAAGGACAAAACAACTTTTCAATTAATAGAGTATTTAAGTTGTACATAAACCTAAATCATGTTTGTTTATTTTAGAAATGAGTCTCCTGTAAGCTATATGATTACTATATACTAACATACCACAGGTCGATTAAAAGAATTTCCCAGGGAACATTTTCTTGCCAACAATGGAATGAATAAAACTTTCCACTATGAACAAAGAAAAGCAGGGAAAGACCACTCACTTCCTGCCTCCAAAACTGACACAACCAAATAACCCAGTAAAACAGTAGAGCAAATTCAAATGTGGTGCAAAGAAGACATTAACAAGTATAATTCCAACTCAATGTGAATAAATTTAGTGACCTAAACTGTTAAAGTGACCCTCTACTGACCAAGGTGTAACCAGGTTAATTTGTAAAAGTGCCAATTTCTGTTGAAATCTGCACTTTTTGTAAAATGAAAAAAGAGGACACATTCTTCATACATGAAGCTTTTTAGCAAACTAAAGTGCTTTACGGGTCTGGATTGTCCCTTTAAACTCTCCTTCGTGCCAGCAAAAAGGCTCAGCTTGAGCATGCATCCTTTCACCCTGCGATTAACCTTAGCAGGAGACAGTAATAGTCTATACAATGTTAACGTCTTTTAACCAGTCCAAAGGTTGTTGTGTAGTTGTTTTGGGTTGTTGGCCACTATTGAGAAATTACAGGGCTGGAAACCAGTCAAAAACCAGTTACTAAGTAGAGGTTAATAGCAAATATAGAAAATATGAAAGCTGTTGTCCACAGTTCTTCAGTCTGACTTTCAGTATTTCCTTGTAGCCATTTGTAAGGTTTTTTTTTACTTGGTAAACAGTTACTGCTTGATAAGAGTAACCAGCCTGCTAATACATGATATAAAGTAGTAGCAGGCTGGTAAAAGTAGCAACATAGGAAACTAGCCCTTAATGTTCAACCGTTTAGGAACAGTTCAATATAAACTGGGCCCTTTTCGGCACTAAGGGACTGCTCCTATGAAGAATTAACTCTTTAGAATTATCAATGCCAATTATGTCCAAACTGGGCAAAATTGATTACCTTTGAGTACTAAGGGAAGGTTAGCCCTTTTAAATTGAGACTGATATTGATAGCTTACCTTCCAAATTATGTAACATGATATTTTATTTATAACGTAAGTTACATAGAAAAACAACTGATTACGATCCACAGCCTGATATCTGATTTCTCTGTTGGCCTTCGTATGAATAAGCTATAGATAAGACATCTGGCAATGCTTAAGCTGTATATGTAGGCGTCTTTAAAAATAAATTGTGTTTGCAATATATTAAATATTAGAGGGTGA